TTTATGTATTTGCAGGCCTCAAATAAAAGTTTAGTGGGGCCAATAATAATGCTAGAAGTTTTTATAATAATTACAGAGTCCTTCTTAAATTTAAGAGCTTGGAAGGAGACCAGCAGCTCTGCTCTTTCTGTATTCCCCAAACACACATCCTCTGAGACAAGCCATGGCACCCTCACAGGTTTCCTGTCTTTTTTCCCCACATGTGTGGAGATAAAATTCTGTTCTTAGATGAAAGTAGGACGGAAAAAAGCATGGCATCAGCCTGGATAGAGTAGGACAGGAGAATGAGTGTCGTTTTTGCTCATTAAAATTGTGGAGTGATGACAGAAGGATAGATAAAATGAAAAGGCTAGAGATTTTTGCTTTGCCTTAAGGGTCCATCACAGCTTGGGGAGGGAGTGGCAGAACCCAGGGTATTAGCAAGCCCACCAAATGTCAATGATCTCTGTATGATTTAAATGGCAGAATGGAGATATCATTGGAGATATCTGGTACAATCACAGTAATAGGAGGTAATGATGGCTTTCATAATGTTAGATCTGTCTGAGGGAGATGGTGAGCAATTGGGAGAGATAAAGAAACAAAAAGAAATGGAAAAAAGGCAAGATGACAGGATGAGAAGGACAATACTATCAGAGGATGCTGGTGAGCTGGTGTTCCTTAATCAGCAAGGCTTCTTTAGTCAACGAGCATGACCAGAAACACCATGCTGATTGACCAGCATGGGAATTCATGATAGTCTTTTCAGCAGCATATTTATTCTTGTATGAATTTAATTTACTCTTAGACATTAGACTTAGTATTACTTTTAGACATTGTAGTTTGAGTGTTTAGGCTAGATGTATATGCAATCAATTATATTAGAGTAAATAATAATTCATGCTTGAACTTAATTCAGTTGTGTTCAGTGGTTCCACAAAATGTAAATGGGTTTTCTGTAACATGACTGTAAACTTAAATACATTGTAAATTGGAAACTGAGCTGAATAACTGAACTGAGCAGCAGCAAATAAAATTAGGCATGTCGAAGTAACACTGAATCTTTAGCTGTCAACTACTAGATACACTCTCAGAAAAAAAAGGTACAAAAGCTGTCACTGGGGCGGTATTTTTTCCAAAGGCACACCTTTGTACCTAAACAGTCCA